CTAGTCTTTAAACCTATCAAAAAGTCTGGAAACCGTTAGCGGCCTTGAATAAAGCTATGATTACTAGTTTGATTTAAAATGAGATACAAGTTGGACTTATTGCGGGAGGACTTGACGTCAACAATTTAATTCTTGACATGCATAGGTTTGCAAGTAGATATTTAAGTTTATGAACTTTTTATCCATATGTCTTATACCTTTACTGTCATTGTTCTTCATACAAGCGTAACTTATGTAACAATAAGAATGAATTTTGCACAGTGGTTACCGTTTCAGAGTTTACTGATGATGCAAAATTGAGCTAAATTATTGAACAATTCTCCAGGTTTATTTCGCGTCTCAGGAGACAAATTATTATAGAGTTTCACATCTGGTATATCTGTTGTCATCATCTCATACTGCATATAGCGACTGACTAATGCTTAATACTAAAACTATACCTTACTTCATCCCGCTGCTCGTTCTAAGGAATCATTTTACAACAAAAATTTCTAACTACTTATCAAGAAAAAAACCCTTCCCTTATGTATAAATTCAATAATAATATTGTGGCTTTCAAGGTTATTCATAGTGAGTACTAGTTTATAGTCAACAGGACCCTTACTTCACTCAAATAAATGCTTGAAAATCTTCTTATGCGCCAGTCCAGATATTTGCTGCTTAAAGTATAGACTTCTTTCCTCAGCCAAAATAATCCTAATTGACGCTGCACATTTGGCTTTTAATTAGCCAAGACAGCCTTACTCATTTTTGTATCTTTGACTGTATTTTGCAGTAATTTTTATAAAGTTAGTGTGTAAATGAATGAATGCTCTTTCTATGGCTCTTATTCGTTTGACAGTCTTATTTCAGATTATGAGAGTGAGCAATTTTGGTGAAGAGAGATGCATTACTAAAAAATTGGTCGAAAAAATATTTTGCAGATTAGGAAATGGAGTTTTTGAGTACGGTGAATATCTAACTATGCTACATAGTCAAAACAGTAAATCGAAAATTTTTTTCCTTACTTTAAAAACTAACTTACCTTAATTTTCTTCACACTGATATTCTGTACATGTATTGGTCCTACAAATAAAATATTAAAAAAAGAAAACAAATATTTCAAAAAAAAAAAAGAAAAAATTTGCTTCTCAACAAACTCGGTAAGCTTTTATTATGACTAAAGCTTCAGTCAGTACGAAGTCGCTAGAAAATGAAAATTTACTGCACATTTTCTACTTTTTATTTTCCTCATTACTCAGAAAAATTTTAAAATTTTGTTGCTTGGTTTTGCTCACTCTGAGACATCATGAAAGCGATGAATTGGATTGATAAGTTAATGCCGCAGTTCGCTGAAGCAAATTATAGGACTTCCATAATATTATTTTTTAAATTAACTAACGTTAAACCCCTTGAATATTTTTATTACCCAAACGATAACAATTACCCACAAAAGCAAAATATGATTTGAAAGCTGAAAAGGAGTAAACGGATAAAAAAAAAACAACTCAACAAGTGGTAGTAAACTACTTTTGCTTACAGGAAAAAAGCTGTTTTTTTTT